AACAAAAAGAGTTGCGACTCAATAAACAAAAGATCTATGAAATACATGCCCTTTAAAATAATCGAGACGTACTCTGAAGCTCAATGAAGTCTAGAATCCTCAATCTGGCGACAAGCTCCTCGAATGACACCTGAAGACCTGTGAATGAAAACAAATTTTGAACATTGAACTACAAGCTCAATGCCACATAAATACCTTTATTATACTACATGCAACTATTAGATGCGTATTCTAACAAGTATAGTCACGAGGCAACAAAATACACCAAACATACATCATAAAGAAGCATCGTACACATTCAGAACACAAGTATAGTGACATCACAATCAAACAAGTAAAATGTCATTGCACTAGTACAAAATTACCTCAGCACCGATACGGCAGTGCAATAGCATTGATACTAAAGTGATTTAGCACTGCTGAGAATATATCTGGATATCTCACAAAGTATTTATAGACAATCATTAAACATTCATGTAGCTTGGATGTCCTCATCGTTTCTCAAGTATAAATAAGGACATAAGTCTTATGTATTCTTCTCTTATAATATTCTTAAGGTTTATTACACAATATTATAGATTTTCACTTTCAAGATTATTGAAGAAATTTTGATGGTTTTAGACCCCTTACCAAGCTCTTAACAAAAAATTTAGGCTCTCTGCCCAAATTTAGTATGATGGTACCAATATTGACCCCTTCAGTATCGATACTGATCCTCTAGTATCTATACCTACCCTTGATACCAATACCAAAATTGGCTATTGGAATCTAAAGAGGCCTTAGAGTATTGATACTCATAGGAAAGAATCGATACTACCTATTAGGGTACTGATACTGACAAATGTCGAAAATATTGTCAAATAAAATAATTCATATTTTTTAAACAAACAAATAAATAAAGGTAATACAGAGAAATAGGGTCGATCCACAGGGACTAAGGAAATTTGATAATATCATTTTCTGGTTTGAATTAACTGTAAAAATAAAATAGGGGTTTTAGTAATAATAAAAGTGATAAGGTAAAATAAATGATAATCTAAAAATAATGAAAATGTGAACAAAAGAAAGTAAATAAGGGTAAAATAATTCAATAATGATGATTTAGCCTTAGGTTTCTCTTAGACTCAATTTATATCAATCATCGAAATAGATTTTCTCTTCTAGATTCACGTCAGTTATATCAAACAAGGCCCAACAACTAACTTTCCTCTCTGGTAAACTGATGTTTCCAAGTCTCTCTCTGAAACTTAATCCTTGTTGGACTAACCATGTCTATCGTCGTTAGATCCAAGATAACTTTAAGTGCTAGAAAAGACCGACTCGGGTTATAGTGTCCCACCAAGAACCAAACCTAGTCTTGATTCCCCTTAGCAGATAGCCGCCGAGTTTTTTCACAGGAAGTTGACTTACAACCAATTGATTCTTCCTCCCAACAGTAAATCAAAACAACATTCAAATCAATGATGTCTTTTTGAAGTGAAAGAGTCGTGACAATTAAAGGAATGATCGATTGCCAATCCTAGATTTTATAGAATCGAAGAACATATTCAAAGTTGTTAAGTGCTACTCAATTCTCACGATTAGAATTGACTCATCATAAAGCCTTTGTCTAAGAGAAAGTTTAAATTTGTCGAACCCTCAAAATAAGTCTTTAAAGTTTAAATTATGTTAAAAATATCATTCAAACATTTTAGAACAATTTTAAAAGTCATATCTTTCTCAAAATGTCAAAAATTGACTTTTAAAACAAGCTTTGACTAGAAGTTTCAAAACTTCTATAAGAGCTTCAAAACTTTCCAAGACAGTAGGCTTTGGAGTTTCGAAACTTTCATAAGAGTTCCGAAACTTTGGGCTCCAACGGTCATATTATTTAATTCATCTTCGAAGAGTTTCAATACTTTCTCCATAATTTCGAAACTTCATGTTCTGGTAGCCATTAATGTAGAAATTTAATTCTTCAAACAGCTTCAAACTCCCTCCAACAACCTCAAATGGCTAGAATTCAATGAGAGCACATAAAAAGGGTCTTCAAACAGCCAAGTAATGACAAGAAAGCTATTGGAACAATCAAAGAGCAAATAGAGTTAAATTTGTATTCCATTGTGTCTTTCTTACATAGAACGTTATTACATTCATTGTATTTTTCATTCTAGTATTCTTGGGTGTGTATGAGAGCTTCAATTTGCAAACATTCTATCTTTGTGAGGATATTCAAAGTTTGTTTATTTGTATTTACTTCTTTGGAAGGGTTGAGCACTTAAGACTTTGGGGTATAAGTCTTAGTGTTGTGTAAGGTTACACCTTGTCCTAAAAGGTTATAACAAATTAGTGAATTTGTTGAAACCCTTAGTTAGGAAGCTAAGGTAGTGAATGTAGACTTCATTAAGGAAGTTGAACCACTTTAAAATCCTTGTGTCAGTTTCTTACTTTTTTTCAAAAGCTTCCAACAATTTTTCAATTTGTCAATTCACCCCCTCTTGGCCATTTTCCTTAATTGATTGACTCAACATTATCTTATGCAGACTTCTCTTGAATTAATTAATTTTCTCCTCTTTTGCATGTGGTTTTTCCCAAAAGGGTTTTCCACATAAAATCTTGGTGTCTATTTTATGTGATCATTATGCATATTGTTATCTTCTAACAAATTAGTATCAGAGTGTATGGGTTGTTTGACTTGATTACGATAATGACATCTTCAAAGTATGAGAAGTTGTTATTAGATCGCAACACCATATTCAAATTGTGGAAGGTAGAGGTACGTAAATTTGCAAGGGCTCTCTTTTTCTGATGAAATTGCATAGAAAGAATTTTATATTCTGCAGGGTTCAATAATTATAGAAGTGAACTATAATTTTTTTAAGGCAAAGTGGCCTCCTGGGTAAAAGAATATTTGGTATTTCCTTGAATACCTGGGTTCGAGCATGAGGTGTGAGCGTTCAATATAAAAAGGTTGAGAGTTATCTTTGAATAGATACTATCTTGTACTTACCCCGGATTAATAGAAAACAATCATGGGCATAACGGTTTTGGAATAAAAAAAGTCTTATATTACGTGGGCATAACGGATTGGAGGGAAAAAAGAGAGTTTAGTCATGTAGGCATAACAAATTCAAGAAGAAGAAAATTTAGTTCCATGAGCTTAACGAAAAAGATTAAATTATCGATGATCGAAATTGTGTTGTACATGATATTACTTGTAGTGAAAAAGTTGTAAGCAAGATTAACACTTATGATTTCCTTACCGATGTGAAGACTAAATCTAAGTTTCAGCAAGCTTCGGATTCAGTTGGCAATCATTGTTAAAGAATGTCCCTCTAAGGGGTTTCATGGAAGAAATAGAGAATATGTTCTCAAGGTGGAGAACTTATTCGTTGAATTGTAGAGTTGTTTTTTGTTGATTTTGGGTGCCTTATCGAATTTGAGTGTTTTGTCTCGAATCCTTCACTCTTTCATAATTTACGTCAAGGTGGAGATTTGTTAAAATTTGACTCGAATTTAAAGTGGCACAATTTAATTGGGAAAATAATAAACATAGTTTGATTAAACATAAATAAATTTATTAAAGTGGAGTATTTTATTAAGGTAGTATTTTTATAAACTTTTTACTTTATTTAGTTTCCTTTGTAATAGTATATATCCCTATAAATAGATATTAGATTAGGTTGTCTCATGAGGATCCCTCTTATATCCTTCTTCTCTTAATATTAGTATTTTTCTCTTCTTATGTCTGTGGTTTTATCTGAAATGATTTTTCATATAAAATCTTGGTGTCTATTTTATTGGGTGATAATTTTGTACGTGGTTATCTTATAACATTGTCCATAATATCTGTGAACAAATTAACTGGTTTGTATCTTCATTACAAAGAATTAACACGCTAAACAAACGCGTTACTTCTGAAACAATAAGCAATTAGCTTAGTGCATGCCTTCCGGTAATTGAAGCAAGCATTTTATGATTAGCTTTTATAACACATTTTGAGTTGGGATGAGAATGTTTCCCCGTGAACACAAAACGTGAAGTAAAAGGAATTTGGCTCCTTGGATGGATGTCATCACCGATCAGAAAAGTTGATCGGAGCGATTAAAGTGTGGATTGAAATAGAGGTTGAGAGAATTTAATAATGAAATTGGTATTGTATAAATTTTAAAGGATTAAATTAAAAAATAATCATATTTAGTAAAGTGACACATCATTGATATAACGAAAAACTAACAATTCATTTATCAAATTATAACTGATTAATAATATAAATGACCGAAACATTTTAAATTTTGGTGATCAAAATAAAATAAAAATAACATCGGTGATAATTTACCCTCGAGTATTTATGTTTGAACTCATATTAATAATTTTTTGTACTTGCTAAAAATAAAAAATATACTCAAGTTGTAACTGTTTATACTCAGCTTGGATTTTCGATTATATTAATCAGGTCTTAAAAATATTTACTTTTAAAAATCGAGTTATAAGGATCCGGTTCAGCGTCTGTAGGATCAGAGACTCAGTTTTATTTAATATATTTACACCAAGCTTTTGCTACGATTTTATTTACCGAATTTTGACAATGATTTCTACATATTATTATTAATGGTTCTCGGTATTATTTACATGAGTTGGACTTTCATATTTATGCACATGGTTTTATATTTGTTTTAATTTATAATTTTTGTAAATTAAATTTAAGTCGCACTAACGACAACTGTGGCATCCGACTGTTCAATCGTAACGTCTAAGGTATTACACAAGTATTAAAAAAGTTTAAATAAACCTGGGCACTCTTCGAGTCGGGCATTTAGATACTTGAACTACTCAAGCTTTGAGCACGTATATCTCCTTTACAACCCTACAAATAGGTCCTGTACAACGTCATTGCTTATAGCTCCATAGCATTGAATTTATGAAAAATGTTGAGGCATTTATTTCAGCAGTCTGTTCCTGGAAACAGCCTGTTAAAGACTTTTTACAAAATTGATTGAACCCTGCAAATGTTCCAGATCATAGTACCTAATAAGCACTGCAAATTGTTAAACCACTGTTTTATCATAAATGCTAACTGGTTTCAGTCTACATGAGATGATAGAAGAAACTTCAAGAAACCTTTTTTTCATTGTCTGCAAAAAACAAAGAAACTCACTACCATATTGTCAAAGAAAAAAACGATGAGAATCTCCGTCAAACGGGGATGCATGCAGAACAAAAGCCTAAGGCACAACATGGCTCATGATTTCGGAAAATAAGCGAAGACACAGTATAAAATGCCGAGACTATCAACCACTGCCAGTCGCCATCAGGAACTCACCCTCACATACCAAGTCACTTCCAACATATGCTTTCCCTTCCATCTTCGCAATTCCAAACCGCTTCTGCAGCTTGGTAAGTGTCATCCTCATAACCAATGTATCTCCTGCGATGACTGGTTTCCTAAACCTTACTTTGTCAACTCCGGCAAAAAAGAAGTTTTCCCGAGAACCTCCCACTTCGGGTTGCAACATAACCAGGCCTCCAACTTGTGCCATTGCCTGGACCAAGCAAATACTTCTGTTACAACCTATTGATACTAAAATGAAGAAGAAAAAAAGATTTAGCATTCATATCTTTTCTACCATACTTGATTGACAACTAAGCAGTCTGACCATGGAATCAGCCAATAATAATAGAAGCACCGATGTTGTCTCTATTAGCATGTTTGTTTCATGCTTCATGTAGGTAGTTTCAGTAAGTGTCATTGATTAACCACCACCCCTTTCGTACGTCCATATTATTCAGGATAAAGAATGCTAAAAAGGTGAAGTGTAGTAGTGTACCTAAGCGCCTATAAAGATGACTTGATATAAATAAGTAGCACTGGGCAGAGTGGCAGACAATCGAATCAAACCAATTTAATTCTGATTATGAAAATACTCGAATGGTATAAACCTCCTGAAGTACAGTGACGCTATAACACCATTACAAATTTGGATCTAAGCCATCGTAGAAAATGCCATAAACAAGTTATGGATAACATTATACTTAAGTCTGCATTATCATTCAAGTCAAAGGACTAGCCCCCAAGCACAGCTGGAATAAAACACTGCATTGAGGATTACTACTGTAAGTCAAAACTTGCTGGTTTTCTCAATTAATTAGTCGGTAGTTTTAACAAGATAAACACCATTAAGGATGTCTTACCTAAAATATAACCTATACAAAATTCCAATAGAATCAGCTACCATAGAATAGGGGGGAAATATATCTGGGATTTTTATGCAAAGACAAGAGACACAAAAGATGGTGTTTTAGAGATGAAAACACCACGGGATATCAAAGGATGTAAATGGAAAAATAATACATAGTAGCTAGAAGAGCTGGGATATTACATGAAGAAACAAAGATCTTAACAGGAATAAAATCCAACCACAATTTTCTGAAAATGTGCAAGGAGCTCAATTAAGCTTGATTTTCAACCCAAAAAAATTGCATTGAATAACAAAGAATAAAAAATACTCACAGTACTTATTAATGCTAACATGCCCTACCCAAGTTCATGTCAACAGCCAGTAGCATCTCTGGGGTGAAAAAGACTTCACAGCTGATTATCTACCAAATCTTTGGTTGAGCCCATGTTTTTACCTCAAACTTCTACTAAGGCTTCATACAACAAAATTTTACCTCTGCGGTAAGATTGTCTACACAGCCTTACTCTATTTATGTGATTGAATAATGAGGTATGGACCAAAAGGAAATAAGCTACTATCTAAATACATAACCATGGAGTATTGACCAAAAAACAAACTAGCTGGCGCCTGGCAGTATACACCCGTCGTTTCATGCATGCAGATAGAAAGAGCAATATTTTTCATCATCATTGTACAGATCTTAATAAATTAGTTTATGGAAACTGGATAATCTAAGCACCTACATTTTATGGAAGAAAAACAACTTTAAGATCAAAAGATTCAAACATTCAGAATGCAGAACTGGGTATCAAGTGACTAATGGAAAAGAAACATCATGAAATATGAATAAACGAAAAGAGAAAAAAGAAAGGAGGAAGAAACATTGCTAACTCTGGAAAATCCGATTATAGAGAAGATGCTATATTATTTTTGAGAAACATTAACCATTCAATTCATCCTTGATTAGTTAAGCAAAACTGGTACAAATGTATCTCAACTGATATAGTTGAGCTTGAAGTTGAGTATGATAATTAAGATAACTTTTGACAAGGTAAAGTAGAGCGAGCCTAAGCAATCTGATTTTTATATGCTAGAGCTTAAAACGAAACCCAAATGGGCTCGAGCCAAGCTTCGAGTCACAAACTACAAGATGTGCACAAGCTTCTCGAGTGTGTTCCGCTTGATTACACCCATACCCATTTTACTACTGGTGGTAATTTAGGTAACAGAAAGCAGGATCAGAGTACTACTACCTTATTTATTAGATTGATAACCCAAAAAAAAAGTTATCAGAGACAACACAATGTTATTCATATGATAAAATCCTACATTCAGCTCCTAAAATAAAAATGGACAAAATTTAAATGATAAACAAAGTGATGAAATGCCCAACCATTCAGGGAAAAAGAAGATACCTCAACCATGAGAACACCGGGCATTATAGGCCTCTCAGGGAAGTGTCCAGGAAAGAAGTTATCATTTATGGTCACATTCTTTATACCAACAGCCGATACCCCTGGATTATATTCTATTACTCTATCAACCAACAAAAAGGGGAACCTACAAATCCAAAAAACCAGTTAACATATATCGGAAACAAGCAAAAGAAAAGCTTATAAAATAATAAATCAACAATGGATAATTTTCTCACCTGTGTGGTAATATCTCTCTAATTTTATTAATGTCCATCACACTAGGATAAGCTGGGAACCCTGAGAAATCACGGAAAAAGAGAAACAACCCCCGATTTCAATTTAGAACATAAAGATTTCAAAAAAGTGAAAATTGAGAGCAAAAACATAAACGAATTGTACTTGTTTCAATGGGGTTCTCTTTATCTCTGCTGTTGGATGCATCTAAAGAGCAAAGTAGGGGTGAGTTGGAGCGGCGAGTGAGCTTCAGAGAGAGAGAACGAGATCCGGGTAAAGGAAGAGAAGGGAAAGGAAGAAGCTGGAAGTGCCTTCTGGGTTGACTCAATGAGCCGTGGATGAAAGAAACGAGCGAGTTGGAAGCGACTCCCATTGGTGGAGAGATGCAGAGAAGCAGGTAGCAGCAGAGATTTCGAGTTTGAAGCAAGTCGAAACTGAAGAACGCTTTGGTTTGACCATGTTGTTTGAACAAATAAAATAATAATTTATTATTTTTATTTTAATTAAGGTATTATTGATATTAGGGTAAATTTCGTGTTTAGTACATAAACTATAAATTTTGATTCATTTTAATACCTAAACTTCCAATTATTTTCAACATCATACCTAACGTTTAGTTTTTATTTTTAAAAGCGGGTGATTTGCACTTCACCTTTCTTATAGGTTAATTGCATTAGTCATTACTTAACTATCTTCTCACTCATATTATGGTCATTAAAGTTTAAATTTTTTAATTTAATTATTTAACTTTCAAAATATTCCTAATTTAATCATTCTAACTTTAAAATTTATTTTTATTTTAAATTTTATATTAATAAAACAATAATAAAAAATTTCATGTTAGAAAAATTATTAATGAAATAAATTAGAGCGATTAAAATAAAGCAATTTGAAAGTTGAGTAGTTAAATTGAAAATTTTTAAACTTTAGTACTAAAATAGGAGTGAGAAAATAGTTGAGTGATGAATTGAATGATGTAATTTAACCATAAAATACAATGTCATTATGTTTTTAGCGATGTGGTACTAAAATGAAATAAAAATTAAATATTATGTATGATTTTGAAAAAAATCAAAATTTAAATACTAAAACAGACTAAAACTATTGTTTAGGTACTAAACTGTAATTTACCCTTGATATTATTACGGGTTTTCATGTACCTGATTTTTAGATATCTGATATATTAGGTAGCTATGATTACTAGGTATCAAAATGTCAATTCATGTGAAATGACCATCCAGCTCAGTTGGTAGAATACAAGACTATTAACTTTAGGGTCGTGTGATCGAGTTCCACTGAGAGCATTTCATAATTTGAAGGTCTCTTACGTAAGCTGCTCTCAACCTGACGTTGGAGGCAACCTACTATCGTACCTCTCGTTTACCCCATTACATATAGGAATAAAAGTCAGCTTAGAGTCAAGATGATCGAGTTGGTCTAAAATGTCAATTCATGTTCCGACTCACTAAATTTAAGTTCGTAAGATTTAGATACCCGTGTTTTCAAATCATGGCTACTTAATTCATATTTATTTTATTTCTAAAGATAAAACTTAAAAATCTGAAACGATAGGGTTAAAAAAATAATATAAAATGTTAAGGTAAAACAATTTAAGGAATTAGAAACTTAAAATGTTAAGGTGAAGTTAAGGTGCAATAATATGAGAATTAGGAATAAAAAATTTATTATAAAATAAAAAATTAAAAAATATAGAGAATTGAGTATCGGGTAGTCGATTAAGAGAAATTTGTTCATTCGAATTCTACCAGAAACTTATAAAAAGTAGTGGATTAGATATCCGACCCACAAATTTAAATATTTTTATTATAAATACTAGATCATTTTTAATCGGATTAACGGGTTAACATGTTGGGTAATTTGTATTAAATATTTTTAAACACCCTTAGATATTATAAATATATTTTATAACCGGTATATTTTTATAATAAATATAATTAACTCAAGTGATAGTTTAATTCAAATATTATTTATTTTATATTTTATTTTATAATATATCATATTCAAATATTAATTAATCTTATATTTTAAGTTATAAATATAATTTGAGTATTTTATAATTTATTGTTAAATTATTCAAATTTTAATTGATAATTAAAATAAATTCTATTATAATTCGAATGATTAAAAATTTTTGGTGATTAATTTCATTACGTAAGAATTCAATAATTTTACTCAAATAATATCTTTACTCTCGTTCTTAGAGGGTGACCTCAATAGCCCGTCGTGATAGAGTGTAGTGTCAGTGCTATGTCGGTTTGAATTCTCGTGTTTTGGCTCAATATTTCATCATGAGAGCTAGAGAGAATTATGACGTCACGTATCTAATTTTAGGTATATTTCATTATTTTGGTCCATAATTTTGCATTTGTAGACTTTAGGTTTATGCATTCATTTGATTATGATGAGAAAGAATTTCGAGAGTAGTAGCTTGTATAGAGATTTCGATGTAGGAAACTAAATACCTAGTTTTGTTAGGATTTAGTGTTGATAGACGAGGTTAAACTTTGGTAACCGATTGAGAGCCAAGGTCAACCTTATGTAGTTGACCTAATGAAACTACCATCTCAAGGACTGATGTAACCTTGGTCATGTGTTTGGTTTTTTTTATCGAAATATTACCCGTACGCCTAATAATTACCTGTCATTATGCACGTTGAATTAATTGTATTGTATTATTATTCGAGTAGTTCGACTTTTAAACCCTCATCCTCTCCTATAAATAAGAACCGTCTTTAAATACAAACATCACCACACCAAAATTACTTGCTTGTTTTTGCTTTTATCAATTCCTTATATTTTTGTTGTAAGGTAAAACTATTTTTTATTTTATTATATTTATTTTATATATGATTATTTGAATAAATTTTATTGTACTAATTATTTTGTATTATTTTTGCGGTTGTAAAATTGGAAAGTGGGATCATACCTCGAGACATTTTTGCGGATACGGTAACAATATGAAATTATGTTATTTAAATTATTGTGAAATTTTTTATATTTTTTCGATTAGTTTTTATATTTTAATTTATATATTATTTATTTAATTAGGCATATTTCAGCTATTGTTTTTGCAGATATAAGACTCAATCTTTCAAACTCTCAAAATAACATGTATTTCAGTTATTGTTTACTATGATGGAGAAATTCGGGAAGATGAAACCAGCGTCGTCTTCGCATCAAATCATTCTGTCAAAATATCCTTTAAGAGAAACATCACTTTTGAGGAGCTGATAACAAAAATTTCAAGGAAGGTTCATGTTGGAAGCACTAGAAGACTGTCTTCACTTCAGTATAGATTTTCAACTGTAGTATTTCTGTTAACTTATACAACGTTCGAAGTCTCCAACGATGACGATGTTACTATGATGGTTGATTCTCAAAATCAATAATTAGATGTCGATACACAGATGCATGCAATATTTGTTAAAGTACATGTTATTCGTGGTATGTCATTATGCTCATACTATGGGCTAGCTCAACAAGTTGATCAAGTTGACAGCCCAACTCAAGTAATGTGTAATGATTTTAACTTGTAAATGGGAAATCCACATCATGGTGCGATCCCATCAAGTTCAATGGGGGAGACATTCATCAGTAACATGTTACGATCTGTACCGAGATGGCTCCATAAGAAATCCGTATGACAACATCGCGTCCAGTTCAAGAGGAAGGCATTCATCTGCCAATTTCTTTGACCTGAATATGGAGATGCCCTCGATGCAGCAATATGTGCAGTACCCATTTGACACGATGCCTTCAAGTTCCAGGGGAGACATTCAAGTGCAAGCTTCTTCGACCTCAATGTCGAGATGCCTTCAAGTTCAAGGGGAAGGCATTCAACTACTTGCTTGTTCAACCTAATTGTCGATATTATGGAGGAACCCTCATCACTACCAAAAGAACCTCTTCGTGAGCCAAGTGTGGATGGTGTTGAGACTGGACTATTCGTTCAGCCAGAATCACCGCAGTTCAACATGGACTCAGATGATGATGACATAGATGAAGTTCCCACAGATATAGTAGACATCGAACCTCCAGCACACATGTATGAAGCTGACTATGGTGCAATGTACGAGCCAAAATTTACGGATTTGCCTAATGTCGGTGACTATGGATTTAATGCATCAGTCAATGATGGTGAGTTATATAAAGGAATGAAGTTTCCATACAAAGAAGAAGAGATGATGGCAATTAAGAATTATAACATTCGTAATTCTGTTCAGTCCAAAGTCAACCATTCTACTACTGAAAAGTATGTTTGTCACTATGTCCAACATGATAACAGATGCAATTGGATGGTTCACGTATCAAAGAGGAATAGGAAAAATAATATATGGGAACTAATAGTATACAACGGTCCTCACACATTCTGTGAGGATCATCCCAACTTGGACTCCGACATTATTTTCCAATCCATCATGCCCATGGTAAAAGCAAGCTCTCATATAGCTATTACGGTGTTGATTTCAGCTATACAGATGTAATATGGGTATATCGTCTCATATAGGAAAACATGGAAGGCAAAGTAGAATGCCATTAAAAAACTTCATGGCGAATAGGATCATCTTATAATGAATTATCAAGTTGGTTTAGGGTAGTGCGCAGATTGAATCCTGGGATAATTCTCGACTTCAAAACTTGCCATACATATCAAAATGATCGAGTGCTTCGTGATCGATGTCAATTCTACCGGCTTTTTTGGACTTACCATAGTGCATTAATGCTGTGAAATACTGCAAGCCCGTGAAATTCTTGTATGGAAAATACAAGCAAGTTTTACTATTGACAGTTGTCCAATATGGTAATCAAAACATTCTTGCAGTTGCTTTTTCCCTTGTTAAAGGAAAAGATACATATTCTTTGACTTTTTCCTCAGAAACTTACGCTTACATGTTGTCACGAGTGAAAAAATCTGTGTAATTTCAGATCACCCTATGTCCAACATCAGTACTGTATCTGACACATTGCTTCTAACTATCATGGAAAGTTTAAGAAGAATGATGAGTGCCAATTACTTGTGCGCATGGGTATGTCAAAATGATGTTTTTTTATTTCTCAATCATTTTCATTTTTTTATGGAAACTTAACAGTACATTCTACATCTGATGCCCAGTTTACGAACTATTACCTAAAACATTTGAGTTTGTGCATTAAGATTTACGAGAACAGAATGAGGAATCATACAATTACATCAGCCTTATCAAAAAAGAAATGGGAAAAATACATATGATGGTGGATATCGATATGGACACATGACGACCAACTTGGCTGAGACTATCAATTCGACCTTAAAGGGGGCACGATATTTACCAGTAACAACTTTGGTTAAAGCAATATATTTTCGTTTGGGAACGCTTTTTACCAAGCTCGGGGGACAAGCTCAAACTTTGATGCAAAACGGTCATGTCTATAACCCAAGATTAGTTAC